ATTCACATTTAACATAAAAATAAAATATTAAACTAACTAAATAATTTATAATAAATAAAAGAAATTATATATCATATTTCATATTTATATATACCAAATATGCTAATTTATTATAATAATAAATAAAAATAATGAAGAAAATAGATTTGTTTAATATTTTTTTACTTAAAACAAATTATTATGATGTATCTCATTTATTTTTTGACTTTTTGTCTTGTTTTTTAATAGAAGATAAAAAAAAATTATAGAATAAAAAATTATAATTTTTATATTATAGAGATGAAATTAAAAAAAATTTAAAATTAAAGAAATTTTTTTACAAGGTGAAAAAAAATATGGAAGTGAATAAATGATAAAAAAAATATAGAAATGTGAAAAGACAAAGTGGATATTTAATAGAAAAAGTTGATAGAAAAATGAAAAGGTGAGAAAAGAGGGATAAAAATATGAAAATAGAAGAATAAAAAGTAGAAGTAAAAATTATGTAAAAAAATAAATATGATATTTATTATAAATCAAAATTAAGAAAAGAAAAAGAAAAATATTTAATTTATATTTATATTTATAAAAAAAAATTATGATTTAGAGTCCCCTTGCCTGTGCCTTTGGTCTTATAAATAAATTGATTTTTAATGTCAATGTTTATATTATGTTTTGTTAAAGTAGTTCTTATGTTTACATAAGACGTTAAAGTCTAACTATATGATTAGTGAAAAACATCTTAAGACCATTAAATATATAGTGATAGTGTGTGAATATTTAGTGTTTAATTTGTTTTTGTATTAATTATTGTCAATATTAATTATATATAAATATCTATATTTTTTCCACATGAAATTACATGGATTTTAAGTTATTAATTAATTGATTTTTAAAGAAAATGTTTGGTATATTATTAAATGAATTACTTAATAGATAGATGCATAATGATTATAATTATAAGATTATATTTAATAATATATAAATAAAATTTAACTATTTTTCCTATTTAATAATATTATCAAGGTTGGATGTAATTTTCAATAGTGTTTTTTTTTAATTAGCATATAATACATCAGTATACATATCAAAATTTTATTGTATTCTTGACATCAAGTTCTAATGAAGAATACTTAAAAAATAGTGAAATTTAAATTTAAAAAAATAAATCATATTAACTAACTTTCTCAACTAACAAAAATGTTGATTAATTTGATAGTTAGGTTTTGAGGAAATATATGCTTGAGAGCATATGAGAGTTGTGTTTCCTAGTTGATGTTGTCATAAAACACTTAATGTTGTAGTTTATTGGCATTAGAAGAAGCTTAGTGGAAACAATTAGGTAGAAAAATTGTGGTCCGAAAAGTTGAGAAGGATGAGTATGGTATTTGGGAAACTAGAGTTTAAATTTGATGGATAAAGCATGTTTCCTTTTGAAGTGGAAGGATAGAGGAGGAAGTGGGCTTTCACATTGTGCTTTGAGGGATACCATATTTGTCTTTTAGGGATGTGACTTGGTTTATTAATTTGTCTAGTCTTTATGGTCTTCTACATACTCTTTCTTGCCAAATGTAAAAAGTCAATCCCCACCTCATGTCCCATTCATCAACACACATAGGGCAAACATCTTTGACAAAACACAAAACACTTGACCACTACTATGAACATCTCTCCCAATGCCTTCCTTCTACATGGAATAGAATAAAACAGATTCTACAGGCACAAATAAATTAACAAAATATTTCATTTGTGTGGAGAAATTTTTGTTGTTAGAAACTTATCATATACTCCAACAATAATAGTGACTAGCACATTAATTAATCTGCCTACAAAGTTTCTTGAATGGAGTAGATCATGAGATTAAAGTGTTTTGAGTAAATAAAAGCAGCATTCTCCAATTCACTTTAAATCTATTTTTGGCTATGGTGTGAGGTGGGGCTTGGTTATGTACCTTTGTGTTTGGGATACTGATGGAAGCACAGCTTCTTTGCTTACCAAGCACAACCAAGTGGGGAGGGTTGGGAGAAAAAGAAAGCCCCAAAACAAAAAGGACCTTCAAACAGGAAAAAGAAAAAGAGATAAAAGGAAAGTGAAAGACAGACAAAAATATACAAGAAAAAGAAAGTCGAGTGTGAGAGAAAGACAAGTGTAAGAAAAATAAGAAAATAAAGAATAGTCTTTGAAGATAGTTTCTACGAGTTCCCTTTTAAATTAGTCAAGAAATATTATAAGATTAAAATAATCGATAACAATAAAAAATTCCTTATGTGTTAAGTAACATTTACATTAGATGATATAAAATATCATATTGAAAATTGCTTTATAGGATAAACAAATAACGTGATTTAATTAAATTAGTGGGTTTAACTTATAATGTTAAAAATCTGATATATTCCTTGAGTTTGAACATAAAAATAAATATAGTTTTGTTTTTGAATAAATCCAAACATCAAATTACAAATTCTGGGTTTTGACTATTCGGCCGGTTTGGGAAATAGATATGTGTATGCGAGCATGGAAAGCTTTTCAAGTAAACATACCAATGTCATACCAAAAAAGTAATCTTTGTTTTAGATCTCATCAAATAATTGTTAATTTTACTTCATACTTAAATCATAACAAATACAAAATAATAATTAGTATATAATTAAAATATTTCAAATTAAGATAATTATATTTTTTAGGAACATAATTCACTTTAAAAATATATTTATTATTTTTAATCAATAATTTAATATATATATATATATATATATAATATTTTTATAATAATAACTCTAAAAAAAATACATTAAAATTAAAAAAAAAAACTATTTGTGTAAACACTATAACTATAGAATCTAATCATGTTATTCGGTAATATCTTCATCATTTGTAAAATTATCTATTTAAAATATTTTTTGATATATTTTTATTACATCACATTTAATTATATCACTTTCATCAATGAAATAAATATTTGTTTAAAAGATATTATATTAAATTTCAAACTCATAATCTAACACTTATACATTTATAAACTGCTTATTGTATTAAAATTTTAATCTGACTATTTTTATATATAGGATAAAATTTATTGTGTAAGCATGTTAATTTGTGGTTAGTTTAGATCTTATATATTTTACTCAACTCTAGTTATAAGGAAAATTTGAGTATCTGATTCAATATGTCATCTTAAATACCATACACCTACAATTCGATAATATGTTTTTTTTATCACCTACATAATCATTTAAATATTTCATCATCATTTTCCATTTGAATGCTTGAATGTGATTTTTGTGTTCTAATGTTTAATCCATTCAACTACATCTGTTGTGTTTGACAACAAATTGTCACTTGAGCAACATGACTATCTCACTCAACATTTTTTTTCTGTTGAGTGAAATAGTTTTTTAAATATGTTTGTCAATTTTGTTTATTTATTATCTCACTATTTTTTAAATTGTTTAAGCTAATATATAAATATAATAAATTATTTTTTTATTAGTATTTCGACTATCGAGAATAAATTCTTTTTCTAGTATAACTACTTCATTTAAACTTTCAACTTGTTACTTGAATGCCCTATATATCTCTTGAAGATGATATTTATCATATTAATTTTTTTCCTTATGACTTCCTTATTTGAACATTAATTTGCCACTTAAATTAATTGTCACCAAATGACTTAACACTTGTAGAGACTGATCTCTTCTACAAACCATCACAATTTTAATCACATCTTACATTTTCCATATCACTTCAACACCCAATACAATTAAACAATATATCAATCGTTCTAATTCATTACACACCATCAAAATACACTCTAACAAATATTATTCATCAATTTACTTACTAATAAAAATATAAAATATTTCATTTAATATTTACTTAATAACTTCTTACAAAATTATCCTTAATTACAAAACATGTCTTTATTTTTATTGAATGGAAACCAAGTCATAGGTTAAAACAATGAATTACAATTAAATTTAATACCTTTTACTTTCAATGCTATATTTTAACTTACTTCGAACTCCTTTATTATTGACATTGATTATTTATTTAAATTTATTTTAAATGCCATTTATTATCATATTACTTTTCTACATTAAAAAAAGTGAAACTTCCAAGTAATGGCAATTAATACCACAATAAAAGATATTTATAGAAAAAACATAATAATAAAAGACAGTAATAACTCATGCACTTAATGTGGCATACATTTAATAACCCAGGATAAAAAGAATTATAATATTTGAGGCATGCTTAAGAATATCTTATATAATAAATGCGGTACTTCCTTTAACAACCCAAAAGCAAGGACCAAAGGAAAAAAAAATTGATATTTAGAGTACTGCTGCAAAGTTTTTCACTTAATCCAATATTTTTTTGCTATCAATCAATTGTAATTATTATGAAATAAGTATAACCAAAAATACTAATATTTTTCATTACATAATAACTCAAAATGAATGATCCATATATATATATATATATATATATATATATTTTCGTCATCCTTAATTTTACTTAAATTTAATTTGAAGGGTCTTTTTTAGTAAATTAATAGAAATAACATTTTTATACATAATATATCTAATATATATATATTATTTTTCATTTTTTATTAAAAGTGTATTATATATGTATATGGTTATTAAGGAGAGTAATGTAGCAAGCAATAAAATAATGTTGCGTTAATTAATAGCCAGCAGATTATAGGTTTTTCTTTTTCATTTTATATTTATATTTATTGCCTCGCTCACTCTCTCTCCCCCTCTATCTCTCACTTCACTTTCTCTGTGTCCGTTGGAACCAAACAGTTCCTTCTCTCTCTTTCTCTGTCTTTCTCTTTGCACCTTTCTCTGTCACTCACAGAACACTCTTCTCTCCATTCCTTGCTCCATTTTTTTTCACTCTCAGAGTTAGTTATTCACTCACAAACAAACACACCCTAACACCTTCTTCTTCCTCTTCCTCCTGATATTCCACTGTAACATGACCACACTCTTTACTATCTCACACTACCATTAATGAATCCTACTACCACTCAACCCCCACCGCCGTCGTTACCACCGCCGTCGCTTCCGCCGCCGCCGCAGCTACAGCCTCACCGCCACTCCACCTCCTGCGACCGCCACCCTCAGGAGATTTTTACCGGCTTCTGCCCTTCATGCCTCTGCGAGCGCCTCGTCGGGCTCGATCCCAACTCCTCCTCTTCTTCCGCCGCCACACGCAAGCCGCCGAGCTCCTCCACCGCCGCTGCCGCCCTTAAGGCCATCTTCCGCCCTTCCGCCGCAGCGCGCCGCCCTCCGCCCTCCTCCCTCTCGGAGCTCCGCCGCACCAAGTCCTTCTCCGCCTCCAAAAACGAAGCCCTCTCCGGTTTCTTCGAACCGCAGAGAAGATCCTGCGACGTGAGAGCTCGTAGCACCCTCTTCTCCCTTTTCAACCAGGAAGCCGAAGTCGAAACGCGGCACGTTCCCTCCTCCTCCGTCGTTCAGAAACCCGTTCTCGAGTCTGAGGAGGAAGAAGACGAGGACGACGAAGAAGATAACATTGTCGTTCAAGACGCAAACGACATTATAGTTCCCGAATCCCCTCAACCCCAACCAACTAACATAGAAAATAGAGTTTCAGAAATCGTAGAGGAGGAATCAGAAACAGTACCCGAACCCGAAGTAGCAGACGTGGCAGACGAAGACGCTCTCAAGGCAATGAAGGACCACATGGATCTGGACTCGCAAACAAAGAAAACGTCTGGTCGCGACCTGAAGGGAAGTTTCTGGTCCGCGGCTTCGGTCTTCAGCAAGAAGCTTCAGAAGTGGAGGCAGAAGCAGAAGATGAAGAAGCGCGAGCGCAACGGCGTCGTTGTGGGCTCCGGCACCCTACTCCCCGTCGAGAAGCCTATCGCGCGCCAATTCCGCGAAACGCAGTCGGAGATCGCCGACTACGGCTTCGGCCGCCGCTCCTGCGACACCGATCCGCGCTTCTCGCTCGACGCCGCGCGAATGTCGTTCGATTTCGAGGAGCCGCGAGCCTCCTGGGACGGTTATTTAATGGCGAGGACCGCGCCGACTTTCGCCGTTCCTCCGAGGATGCCTACGATGATCGAAGACGCGCCGGCGCCGGTTCAGGTTCTCAGAACAGATTCCCTCATTCCCGTGGAGGAGCCTGAATATGAGGAGACTCTCACTCTTAATCTAAATCACAATCCTAATCTTAATGCTAATCATAATGTTAATGTTAATCCTAATCTCCCTGGTGGTTCTACCCAGACGAGGGAGTATTATTCGGACTCTTCCTCGCGGAGGAGAAAGAGTCTTGATAGGTCTAGTTCCATTAGAAGGACTGCTGCTGCTGTTGTTGCTGAAATGGATGAGTTGAAGAGTGTTTCGATTGCTAGTGCTACTACTAATGCTAGGGTTACTCCTGCTGCTTCTGCTGATTATGTTCACAATCCCTTGAGGGACTCCAATTCGAATTCGAATTCTTTGAGGGATGATGGTTGTGAGAAAGGGGCTTCTAAGAAGTCATCAAGCAGGTGGAGCAAGGCGTGGAGTATATGGGGTTTGATTCACCGAAGAGGGAGTAAGGAGGAGGATGGTGCAGGGAATGGGAATGGGAATGGCGTGGAGAGGTCGTACTCGGAGTCATGGCAGGAGTATAGAGGTGGGGAGAGAAATGGAGATGTTAGAGGCGGTGCTTTTAATCCGAAGATGATGAGGAGTAACAGCAGTGTGAGTTGGAGGAATGCGCAGGGTATAGGTGGTGTTGGTGGTGGTGGAGGGTTTGGGAGTGTGAGTATGAGGAAGAGTGATGTGCAGGGGAATGGGCTTGGGCTTGGGCTTGGGCTCGGTGGTGGTGGTAGGAAGGGGAGGGATGAGTTTGTTGGTTTGGAGAGGAACCGGAGTGCAAGATACTCGCCAAACAACATTGATAACAATGGTCTCTTGAGGCTCTACTTGGGTGGCCGGAGAAATGGGTCCGGGAAAGGAAGGTCGAACCAGGCACATTCTATTGCCAGGAGCGTTCTCCGGCTGTATTGAAAAAGTGAAGGTGTTCTTTGGTTTGATGCTGTTAGTTAGTTAGTTACATTTGGTGCATTTGTTTGTGTAAAACCACACATGCTGCCTATGTATTCTTGATGGTTGGTTACTTGGTTACTGGTTACTTGGTTGGTATAACAGCACCTGCAGTTGCTGCTGCCACTGCAGCTGCATCTTTCTTTTTTACATTCAATATCATGGTTCTTTCTTCAGTTACTCTTAATAATAACAAAAAAAAATTAATTTTTAAACTTATATCATTGGGGTTGTGTTGATGACATTGGTTTTGTTCATGGTGTTGGGTTTTGGTTTATTGCCAGAAAAAGGCTTGACTGATGGATATATGGCGCCAGTGAAATTTGTGCTTTGTTTGCCTTTGGACTAGGCGTGTTTTCTTTTTCTGTCTTTATGCTGCAAAAGGGTGGCTGATTGGTGGTGTGAGGTTGGGGGTCTTATAATTTGGGAGCATTTGAACTTGAGTTTTTGGCATGTTATGCGTTCCGGCAAAAGTAGTAGCAAGGTGGGCTCGTGCCACCTGGTTTTGCTGCTTGTCATAAGTTGTAGTTTTGAGTACAACACGATAGCCGTGGTCGATTGCTTTTACTTTTCCTTGATATCAATTAATCAAACTTTATTACATGTGAGTCACTACAGACCATGGTCCCATCCAAACGTTACATTTGCTTTGCTCTACCTATATATCTTTAGTTCCATGTTGGTTTAACTAGAATTTGAAACTCAACATTTTTCGTTGGTTAAGAATTGTGCAGAGCTTCTACTTCTATCTACACTTTTCCTGTAGTGTTGTCACTTGGTATGTATACCCTTTTTAAAACTGTTCTCTCAGAAGTTGAAATGTTTTCAATGATATTCACGGCGACCACAATATGGTTTTTCAAGCACGTTTCAAGTGATCTTATGGACGTTAAGACATCTGCAAGAGTAAATAGGAATAAAGAAGGGTTGGCCTAGGCCTTCTGATTGCAAAAGAACAATTTTGCAGTCTGTGTTGAAGCTGTGGATTGACTAATTATTGCAACTTGAAGCCTGATATGCCTTTCCTTGACGAACAGATTATTAGTATGGAGAAATGTGCTTAGCCCCATTGTTCCCTTTAAAAAAAAATGTTATTATGAATCTGTCGCTACATAGTTCAGTTCTGGTTACTTTGCCTAGGGTTTTGGTTAAATGCAATAAAAATTGTCTTTGTTGGCTTCTGTGTGTGTGCTTGAACAGTTGAGAATTTATTGGATATTTCAATTGTTTCTGTTTATATTTGAATATCATTGCTAGGGCCATTTTTTTGGTTTGGTTATCCCAAAATAACTCCAAAAAGGAAATGATGCACAATACGTGGGTTGGTCTACAATAAACTAAGCATATAATTAGAGTTATGAAGAAGAAAGGTTGTGAAGGAAGGGAATGCTAGTTTGAATCTACAGAAGATCCAAGGTAGGCTCTTAAACTAGCAAAAATGTAAACACGTAATAAGAAATTTAAAACAGCTTACTATCATGACCTACTTGGAGGGCATTATGCGGTTGTGGACGACCAAATTAAGTCAAGGTTTGTATATATTTTGAGCATTAAGCATAGATCAAAGATAAACTTAACCTTGGATTTTTGGTAAAGAGACACTAAGCTCTCAGAAGTCAAAAGGAGTGATTCTTATTCTTTATTTTCTCTTGGGAAATAAAAGATATAGGTGTTGTCTTGTTTTATTAGTCAACAAGGAAGCAATATAATATGAATGATGTACAAATAGTATTATATTTTCTTTTTTATTTCAAACTGTTTACCTGAATGAATCCAAATTATAAAACCAGTGTTGAGGTTCACATGATCTTCAATCATTTAGGATGCATAATTAATAAATAAAATAAAATAAAATAAAATAAAATACTTTCTTATTTAATATATTTAATCATTTATTATAATATTTATAAAAAAAAGTTAAAATTATAAATATATAAATTAATGATCATTAATTTCTATACTTTACACTGCTTCTTTGTGTTCTATACATAATTATGCTTCCAATAAACAACCTGAATAGATATTTTAAATGAGATTTTTTTTCTTAATCACCTTCTTTTATTCATAAGACCTAGTCTCAATAGTTTACTTAAAAAATCTGAATCAGTATGTATATATGTCAGTTCCTAAATTTGATTATAAAATATTGTTTATACATAAAAAATTTTCTCCCATACAAAATTTAATCATCAAATGTGAATCATTTGTAACTATTTCTGAAAATAATACACATGAAATAAAGAAAATGATAGGCATGAGAATAGAAGGAAAGAATGAAGGTTTGTGGTGATGAATGGAGATGAAGTATGTGAAGTGCAAAAGAGAAGACACATTGAACCCTAGAAAGCTCAAATCCGATGGGGTAGACAGAAATTATTAGAAGCTAATGATTGTTGGTAAAAACATGAGATAATTGTATCGTCCCAGTGGGAGAGATATATTGAAAGAATCAAAATTATCCGATTTCAATTACCAAGTCTGAGATTTATGCTTTCTCCCTTTTCCATACAGTTCGTAAAGCTCCATTATCACCGAGTTTGCCGCAAAAGTCAAAAAGCATGAGAAAAACATCTCAGCATGTTGCTGTGCGGTGGAGAAGATAAGAGATAAAGAAAGTAAGTGATGCAAATAAAGAGGCTCGTAACCCAATGCTTTGTCTGTGACCTCCGTTCCCATTTTTCTTAGTGGACATGTAATTATTTGTTTTAAGCTAATTCTAACATCCAAATTAATATTTTTTATATGTTTTTTGGACTGAATATTTTTTTTCTCCATGTTTCTCCTCAAATATTGTTTTATTCAGCCTATTATTATTATTCTCAAAACTAAGGATTTAATGCTGAACCTTTATGTCTCTTAGGATTTAAAGTTAAACCTTGAAAACTTTTTTTCCCATGATATTTATTAGGTTAACTACATAAAATAATTAGTTTATAATCAACAAGAAGTCAAAATTATATCAATTTAATTTGTTCACAGAATCATTTCAATTACGAAAAGAACAATTTCAATGGAGGAGAAACTAATTTGACATAAACTATAATGTTATAACTACTGTAATACCTACGAAGACATAATTAATTATCTAATATTTATTTAATAATATTTTTTATAACACAATATTTCTGACCATTTTTTGTTGTTGCAAAATATACCTTCATATTAATTCTTTTTTAGACATAAATTTTGTTTTCATTAAAGAGTTTTCTATTCACACAGAAGTCCAACATAAAATATATTCAAAAGGACTTATACTATCTATCAGTTCTTAAACTTCAATTTCTTTCCATTACATCACTTATCTATCAAAACTTTTCTTTCTGTTCTTCTCGTTTCTCTCTTTCCTATGTAAGAATTGTATAAATTCAATTTCGCAAGAGCTTATTGATGTTTTATATGCAGATACTTTCATACACTTGTATACTTGATTTGGAGCCTAATGTTGTGAGACCCTCAACTCAAGCACTGGCTTTGTATCAGATAATTCAATTATTGCATGACCTTAACTTGTTCCAGTCACAGTAAATATCTGAGCAGTCTGCAACTAAGGAGAGGATTCTGAGCACTGAATGCCACCAAGGGATGTCAATGAAGAACTATCTATAAGAATATCCTTTGCTTCTCAATGAGGTAATGTTCTTATGCTATACGTGCATTAAGCTCAGAAAAGAAGAAAAAGGTTCCCATTCTCTATTCTCAGGGTTTCATATTGTTTCCTTCAACTTCATGCACTAGCAGCAGGGTTCTCATTCTTAATCTTGCATGCATGTTAATTTATCATGTTGTCCACATATGAAACTATACATTTTGTTTTCAATCTAGAATCCTACTACTTAATCAGCTTAAATAGTTAGTTTTTCACTGTTCTCTTACTTCTTTTCTCTATGAATTCATCGATAAAGAAGTATGAATATTTTTGTAAGGATATTGTTGTCAAGGTTGTTTTACATTGAAAATTTGTTGCTAGAATTTCTTCCTTTACTGTCTTAACCAGGTAGACCTCTCAACATTTTCTCTGTTGGCAGTACACTTGTTATAATGCACAAAGAATCCAACAACCAGTAGAAGACATTAATTTTCCATGATTATTTTTAAATCAAAGTTCAAATTTCATCACATTTAATATCAGACTAAACTTATAGAACATGTTTGTTTCTATAAAAGAGTTACATATATGTAAAACAAAAACAGAAAGAAAAAAAAAACATTTTAACTCATTGTGCAATAAAAAAAAATATACAGAATATGATTGTAAGGAAATTGTAAATATTTTTATTTGTTTTAGTTCATGATAATTTTTGTATTGGTTTTCAATTCTCAAGTGCACTGGTGTTCCGTTGCTGACTCAATGCATAACAAAGCAACCTATTTATTTTTTTCCTTTCAATTCAATGTGGTCCTAGTAATTTTGCCAAAGCACTTGGAATTTTATTATATTAATTAGATATTGATGAGATTATATAGTGTAATAAAACTAAATATATAATTTTTTCCCTTCATTGCACAAAGTGATCCTGTTATACTTAATCGTGACACTGTTGGAATAGTATTGGTAAGCAAATGAGTAAATAAATATTAATTATTAGTTAAATAAGAGATAAAAGAAATTGATAATGAACAAAAAAAAGAAAAAAATTATTTAGGGAAAGAAATTGAACACTTTACTCTAAATATAAAGAGAGAAAAAGTAACACACTTTTTCCCTTAAAAAAAAACATAACTATTCCAATTTTTTTAATGAAAAAACTAATGATTTTGAAAGGGCTCACCTAGTTCCGTTATAATTAAGAATTGGACCTCACCCCTTCTAACGATTCTTCCATTTTATATCTTCATATATTTTTTTTTCCTTCGTCATTTCATATTGTTTACATTTGTGATAGACCCTAAAAAATCAACACAACTTTTTCATAACATTTGTTAGTTTTTTTAACGTGGATTGTTTTTTTTTACACACAATTCCT